CTGATTATTGAGAAAACATAATTCCAAATTGTCAACGTCATACCAAAATTTATATATATGAGATGTGGTATATGATTCAAAGTGACCAGAACTTCCACCAATGGCAGTGCAGACACATGACCAGATACTGCACTGCCATTGGTGGAAGTTCTGATCACGCGATTCAGACCTATCTATTACATTATTAATTATATCTAGGGTTTCCAATCGGCATTCCGCATTCCGGCAGAATTACGCGGAATTGCGTGCAATAATTGTTTTCGCTTGCTCCATTTCATTGCTCGGAATTGCACTATGATTGTGAACAAGGAAGCAATTAAATATCCAAGGAATTGCGTGCAACGGAATTGCTTTGCAAAGGCTTTTCCATCTAAAATTCAGTAATTTTGAAGTGTGACTTAAAATGGTTTATGCAACAGATATAAGAATTGAAATGAACAGAAGTTATCTCTGTAGATTTCAAAATAATTTCGAGGGTCACTTGAACATTTTTCAATATTTTTAAAATTTTTAAGGTTCTGGCTTAGCTAATATACTTTTTAACAATTTAATATAATACATTTTTTGGTTAAAACTGTAAGATTCATTTAATAAAAATTAGATATTTTGGTACAGTGAGAACCAGAAAACTATAGTATAACTATAGTATAACTATAGTATAACTATAGTATAACTATAGTATAACTATAGTATAACTATAGTATAACTATAGTATAACTATAGTATAACTATAGTATAACTATAGTATAACTATAGTATAACTATAGTATAACTATAGTATAACTATAGTATAACTATAGTATAACTATAGTATAACTATAGTATAACTATAGTATAACTATAGTATAACTATAGTATATGAAGATAACATTATAGTGTATTAGACTTTTAAATCACTTTTCAGTTAATTATAAGAATGTTCTTGTGGAAAATACTAGTTTTTTTTCGAGTATTATGGGTTGTTTTGGCGTTAAAGTTTGGAGATAATCTGATAACGATATATAATATATAACGATAAAATATGGTAACGATATATAATATATAACGATAAAATATGGTAACGATATATAATATATAACGATAAAATATGGTAACGATATATAATATATAACGATAAAATATGGTAACGATATATAATATATAACGATAAAATATGGTAACGATATATAATATATAACGATAAAATATGGTAACGATATATAATATATAACGATAAAATATGGTAACGATATATAATATATAACGATAAAATATGGTAACGATANGGGGGGGTAGAATGTAATGTGCATGGACGTCAAACGGCTGAACCGATTTGGTTCCATTTATGTGGAACCTTGCAAAACCCCAGGGGCGGGTTATGTTAAACATATAGAAATTTAGATTCAAAAAAAAAGTTTATTTAATTTTTTTCCCTCTGGCAACTCCTCAGGAAAGGTTTATGGCTGGTTCAAATTAAACAAAGGAATTGAGTTTTTGCCACAAACTCTATTTTCTAATTTCTATACCTTTGGAACTCGAATTCGTAGACCTTTGATATTTAAAACTATAAATTCTGTAAGATTAAATAGTCTAAGTTTGAAATATCAAATGTTTACACCATCAGGTTGAAAAGATATAGGGATTATAAAATTGGATTTTGTTGCAAAAACTCAATTCCTTTCATGGAAAAATTTTATATTCTTATAAAAGTTGAAATTAAAATCTTTTGTTTTCCGGAGTACGATGAAAAAAATGGTAGCTTGGAAAACAACAGTAAAAGCTAAAATTGTTTCCAGAAAATGTGACCGAATTTTAATAAAGTCTAGTTTAAATGCACATTTCCATCAACACTAGCAATTCACATGATATCTTAAATCCGAGATTTTTCTTCAAATAGTACTAGAGCCCAGTGGCCGAATTTATAGAATTTGAGCGGCGGTTTAAATTTAAGCCGTGGTTTAAATATGGTTGGTTCCACTTAAAATTGTATCAAGTGTTTCAAAATTTAAGCCGGCGCTAAATTTAAACCGGGTTTTGGCGGATTTAAACCGCGGCTCAAATTCTTTAAATTCCATCTCAGAATCCATATTTCATTGCATATTGTGAAAGTCCTACGCTACAACGGTACAACGGTACCCTTGATGATACCTTGATCTAAAAGTGGTCTTCTTTTAAAAGATCTGGTTCTAACTGTACATAATTTTAAAAAGAGAGAAAAAAGTTTTAAGATCTTAGCTGAAGATCTTTGCTCCCGTTGACTGAGACTTTCTTTATAATGGCAAAACAATCTTAAAATTCTGATAAGTTTTTTATTAATATTTTAATCATGATCAAGAGCAGAAAACTCCAATAAAACTCCAATATCAGTGACAATAAAATAATAAAATGAACGATTACAAAGTTTAGATAGAAAACGTCGTTATAAAGAAACAATTTGTCATGAAGAGAATAAAAATCATGCAAAAAAAGGTTAATTAAACGTTGATTCAAGAAAAGCTCGAGAAAGCACAGGTATTTTATATAGTGATAACCAGAAAATAATGGAATAGAAAGACGACATTATAGCAATAACTAAGCTAACAAAGCTAAAGCTAATATATTTACTAGTAACTTAGCAAAGCACTATGTGAAATGGGTCTATTTAAATTGTACAATTGCTATGTCTGATGTTCATTGAACTAGTTTAAGTCCTAACTTGAATTTAAAAGTCGTCTTTTTTTTTTCAGAGTTTTCTGGTTATCACTGTAATGTATTCTAGGAGATGGTTATGAAAAATCTATCATTGTTCTAGGAAAGTATATGTCTGAAGTCCTTACTTTTGAATGGTAATCCTGAGAAAATCTATATGCACGCATACAACTTTTATGGATTACATGCTCTGGGTGAATTTTGGAAAATGGAATTAATATTTAAAATCATTTTTAAACGTTTAATGTCAATTTAGTTTGTTTTTGACAAAAAAGTTATTCAAAAGTTTTCTTTGAATATAACATTTTTGCTTTTCATTGTGGCGCTTCCGGCAGTAAAAACTATTAATAGCTGTTTTTTGATAAGTTTAAAATGAAAATTTTATTGTCAAAAGCTAAAATTTGAATATTATTTCCAATTATAGAGTGTATGAGGGTAAGTGAACGAATGATATTTTAGCATTTATTAATGAGGAGCAGGTCCTATTCCATACCTCTGGCTCAATAGCAATGAGTAGGGTTCAAAACATGGTGAATTCTGACAGTTTTCTTCATTATCTCTGCAGTTCAATCCATTGTTCACTTGCTTAGAGAAACTCAAGTTTAATATAATCAATTTTATACCTAGAAAGATAAGGATTTCTCATTTCTTATGCCTGCACTCTTTTTTTTATGAAGGGTCATTTTGACATAATTACGTCTATATAGTACCTTTAAGAAAGAACGGGCAACGTTCCGTAAACGAACGATAATTTTTGGTACTTAAAATTTCGACACGGAACGGAAAACTATGAATAAAGTACATTTTTTATGGTGGAAATTACAAAAGTATTAAAATGTAAAATTATCTTATATGTTTTATTTATGCATCGTTTTATTAAATTAACCTTTCTTTAACGAACTTACCGATTGTGGACGCTGAATACATAATAATAGAATGTCGTGCCGGTACAATTATAGTATACTTAGCCCAGCCTGTGAAAGCTGATTAGCAGTCTGTATATATCTGGTTTGTGACTGAGAAATTAAGTTTTTTCCAGATGAAAGTTTGGATTTACCGAGGAAACTAAGAATAAAGAATGTGAAGGATATCTCTGAGATGGAACTATTTGGTAATCTTTTTTTTTTGCTTTTCAGCTGAACAACCTTCTCCGTTAGACAGAATATCGACAATATTTTATGCAGTTTTAACAAAATTTTAGATATTTCTCCAAAGTAAATTGTCTATGTCAATTAAAATAAAAATAATAAGATAATCCTGTTTTCGATTTCTTTTCAATTTAGAAAAGAATATTGTAATTTTGAATTATTTAAAAAAATGTTTTCCAACATTTTATATAAAACGATTTTGACTAATAATTTTAAGCTATGTATTTTAGGAGAACTAAGAGGAAAAAGTTGGTTGATATTTTTATTAGTTTGTAATCTGCTTTAACTAATATTGAAAGAAAACATATCTTTAAAACACTTTTTGTAAAATATAATTCTTAAGATCTGCCTGGGTTAAGTTTTATCCGGAACAGGAATTGAGCCTGTGCCACAAACTCAATTTTTAGAATCCCTATATCTTTGCAGCTTGATGGTTACTGTGATTTTAAGGTTCTCAAGCAAAAATTGCCAAAAATTAGAACTATACTTCTGAAACACTTTGACTAAAAAGTGCTTCATAGCTATAAAACTGACATGTTTAGGACTACTAAAAAAAACATTAACGAATAGAGCGGTAAATTCACAGCCCATCCCTTTGCGACACTTCAAAGTCGACCCTGTCTTGAAAATTGATGCAACATTTAATAGCAGGATGAATCTATGTGTGATCGATGCAAACCTTGATATTTCAAACTAAGATCCTAGCTATGATCCTTTCAAAGTTCAACGTAGACTCAAGTTTTCCTTAGTTCAGAGGTTTTTGAAGTATTTCACTCAATTCTTGCTTCCAGGGGGGTAAATTAGGGGCCCTGATAAATTTAGTGAGCTAGTCTTCACTTTAGAACCATTTTCACTCGTTAAATCTTGATTCATCATTGGATTCGTCATTGGATTCGTCATTGAATTCGTCATTGGATTTGTCATTGGATTACTTGATAATATAGACGTGCTTTCATTGTAGGAAAGAAAGGAGTGGACGCACAAATTGCCGCAAATTTTTACAAATTTGCTGTTTTAAAACAATATGGTGGCATCTTCTTGGATTCAAATATTCTAATTTTGTATTTAAAAAGAAAACAATAAAATAACTATTATAATGATATAAAGATAAAATAAATAGTAAAAATAAGACTGTAATGATTAATTGTATCAAAAATTATGATAATATGTCATACAAAGTTTAAATAGGTTTGATTTACCAACAGTTATGAAGTTCAGTAACTCTACCATTTCCTTAGGTATTTATATCATCTATTTAATAAAGCTCTTTGCATCATATACATATTAGTATGTATATATGTATCTCTATATATTTATTAAACGGCTGGGCCGAATGGGCTGACATTTTTTATGGAACCCTTAAGTAACATAGGCTAAACAAAAATTGAATTTTTTTTAATAATTTTTTTTTCAAAAATCGATTTTTTCTTCTTCAAAATTCGATTTTAAAACCTCCCATCCCGACTTTGTTGATAATACAGAAGTCGTATCGTTTATTTGCGGGGTTCAGATGTCATCGAAATCATTTTGATCAGATTGTTCTAAAGATTATCTTTTTAAAATATCAAAATAAAAAAGGTTAATGTTTTATTTTTTTAATTTCCTGTCATACCAAGACAACTGAGTTAAAGTATTGATTTAGATCTTAAAGGTCGGGTCGAGAATCTACTTAGCGTAGTACAGTTACAAAATTGCTGTAAATAAATAAAAAAACTAAAATAAATTTTGTTTAGGCGAAGGGTTGCTAATGGCAAGTCCAAGGTGAGTAAATATAATATTAAAGGGAGTGTTTGCGAAAAATGAAAAAGGGGTATAGGCTTACGACGAAAAATAAGCGCTTTTGATCGCTACTAATCTTACTTTTATCTGTTGCGTCTGTAAGGAGAAAATTGTTGAAAACGACTTATACTGAAGAACATAATGTCCATACAAATTGAGAAAGTTGCAACATACGACTCGGATCGTAAAAAAATCCATTTAATTAAAAAAAATCATTCAGAATTTACAACCTACAGTCATCGATTATTTTTCGACACATTTCTATAAAGTTAATATTTCATAATATGTTTTATTTGTTATGCACTTAAAACGCAGAAATAGTTGGCCGCCAGGTGTCTCTGCTCTTGATGCTTTGAATGATTTCACGTGGCAGAGACACCTAGTGGAAAAAACGTCGTTTTAAGTGCATTGCATATAAACAAATAACAAATATTATGAAAAATCGAAAAATAATCGATGTCGAAAGATTTTAATATTTCAATGATTTGTTTGATATTAAATTGATTTTTCTACGATCCTAGTCGTATTGTTGCAACTTTCTCAATTTGTATGAACACTAAGCTCTTCGGTATACGTCGTTTTAACAATTTTCTCCTCTCCAACAGATGGAATTTAAGATTAGTATGAATCAAAATCGATTATTTATCGCCGTAACTCTCCCTTTAAAGAAGAAAATGTTATCTTAGAAATTTCTAATGAAGTCTGATGTACTATAACCTCGTTGTGTACGACCATATTAATATTTGTTGAGAACTAGTTTTAATTAGATCGTTCAATAGAATTTCTCTCTTCAATTAACTTTTCAATTAAGTTCCATCCATTAATGGGACTGTAAGCGTAATTTCAAGAGACCCTTCATGCAAAGAAGGTAAAGCCCGATTCACAACGGTACCCTAGAAACCTTTGTCTGATAGATAATGAGGAAGATATTGACGATTGTCTAGATTTAAACGTATTTAATTCTGATAATGCCTGTACACGTGTTCCTGCAGTAAACATATGCAAGTTAATTTTATAGACAAACCACAATTGAAAACAATTAGTTTTGAAAACTATAAACAAGGATATCTAATGTATACTTCAGCAAGGTTTTTAAGATAGCTTTGTGAATCATCTTTGCAAGGAGAGTCACTTGAAAGCTTTATACCTCACAGTAGCTTTCAAAGCCATCAGTATCCAGGGCGCCGGTCCCACATTTACATGACCATAAAGAAAGTTTATGGCCAATCAAAACATTGCAAAAATGGTGAGCCAATTTTGCGTTTGAAATTTCTTAATTTTAAAGTTTTACTATTTAAAACAGAGAAGGGTCGGCAAAAATATCAATCACTCTATTTTTCTTTAAAAATCTTTTAACATGAATAATTTCACATATATTGTCAAGGACCTGTATCTGAAATACAGGGTTACACATAAAGGATTAGACTTCAATGACGACATAAAACTCTTGAAAGGAGACATTATGGAGGTTTGTTTTTCATCTTTGTTCCTAAATAAAGTTATTAATTGTCAACACAAGGATTGGACAAGAAAGTAACAAGTTTACAGCGGCATTGAATCAAGAATGTCTAAATAATACAGAATGATTTCCTCACATCTCATCCTTTGTGGGTAACCCTGTTCTAGAAACATTATATCATTAAATAATTTATATTCAATTTTAGAAATGATGAAATGTTCCTAAAGTTTGAGAATATTACGAAAGGTCTTGAGGAAAACTTTCAGGGAAAAATTGAATTGAATTGGCAGGGGATAAAAAGTACAAAATATTAAATGAATTTAAAATATATAAAAAGGAATTTAAAACTTTACTGCAACACGAAAAGAGATCGAGAATCAACATGTTTCTGCATAATTTTATCTAAACTTTGAAATTTTTTTTTCATATAGCATATACATAGTTATATAATTACAAATCGCATTCTTCTTAAAACAGTCATAACAAAACATACAAACATACTTAGTCCCAACATTTCCACTATGTAGTACATGACTTTTTGTGATTGAAAAGTAGTAATTTTTTCTAGAATTTTTGAGAGAGGGTAGAATTTCAATGGGCACTAGACAAATACTGCAAAATTTTACTTTTTCTAAAAAGCTGTAGTCGTTAATGTGTTCCTCCCCGATAAACAAATTTACCCTTTAAAATTGTATTAATCCAATGTGGAAAATATTTTCGGTTTGCTGACTTGGAAAATGTTCAAATCTGATATTGTCTCCATTGTTTCTGAAGCGATAAATGCACAAGTCACTTTTGCAGAGAAACCACAAATAAAATAAAATATTCGTGGATATCTAATATATTCTTGATCTTGCTAAAAAAACGCAAATGTTTAGAACAAAACAATTTTGAAATTTGTAAAAATTCTCAGATTTTTGTTGATACTATGAAAAATTCAAATTCCAAAAACCTAAAAATATTTAAAAAAAAAGTTAAAAGATTTTTGTTAAGATTTATTAATTCTTTCAATAATACTAAAAATAACGCCACATTAGGAAAAGAAAATAATTACGATTATGATCAAAATTACAGGGTGTCCCAAAAAACATGGGAATTCAGTGACGAATTCGATATCGTCTTTTTAAATAATTCTTTGATTTAGTATAGTGATACCTAATGAGAAAGCTGTAATCTGTAAGAGTTTCGTCTGCTATGTTTACAATTTGTGTGTTTATGTTTTGACTGCATACGGTTGTACTTAGTAAAACAAGAAAATTGCAGTATACAAACAGAGTAAACTTGTCCGTCTTCACTGTTCATCGTGCGGAGACATTATAGACACATCTTTACAGTCTTCTACCCTTTTCATAAAATAAACTCTAGCAGACATAATAATATTATTGCTTTTGAAATTAGGTATTACAATGCTAATTCATAACAAAGACGATATCGAATTCGTCACTGAATTCCCATGTTTTTTGGGACACCCTGTATAAAAAGAAATTAATTGATTTACTTTTACTGAAAGAATTGCAATTTATTAATGTGTTTTTATCCTACTCTTTTAGAAGGTTTACGATTATAATTAAAATTATATTAAGAAATTAATTGATTTACTTTTACTGAATGAATTGCAATTTATTAACGTGTTTTTATCCTACTTTAAAAACAATTTCTTACCATATTTTATGAATTTTCATAATTTAACGCAAAATCAAATTCTTTAAACCAAGTTTTCAGAATGATTTGAATACTCTGCTAAACTCAGAAATGTTTCAAATAGTTGGAGGTCTCGATTCCACCGATCCTTTACCAGGTTTACAAGTATTTTAACAAAACTGTGCTGGAATTAACTTCTAATTTTCTTATGCTCTGCATGATTGACGCAATGTAAATTAGAAGAATGTAAGAAAAGTGAATTGATTCAAGAATTCTAAAATGTAATCCTCATCTCAGATTCTTTTGGAGTCACATAAAAGTAAAAACATGGTAAAAAAATGACCCCAAATTTACAAACGAACCCATAAAACCATTATTTATCAATAATGTTGAATACGTTGTCAGTTTTCTAGCTTAAAAACCTTCGATTATAACAAATAATTTCGTTTTTTTTTATAGATTTTGAAATTCATTTTTTCATAGAAACCATAATTAGTTGTTAACTATGGATGATACCGATTTTATACAGGGTTGCCTACAAAGAATGAGACTTCAGACTCCTGTATGCCGATTCCATTAGCACCAGATCAAATCAGGGTTCAGTCATGTGTTTGGTGTCTATTCTGAACCAATAGAAATTGCATAGCGCTGACATCTATCTTTCTATCTATCTCATTATCCAATTAGAGATAAATCCTTTAATCGGCGCTATAACAGTAAATGGAAATATTTACTTCTACTGAAACTATGGTTTTCAGAGCCGACTGTACAATATTTATATTGTCAGTTTCCTTATTATTATAGATTGCTATATCTAAAGCCAAATTCTTAATATAATCATGGGATCATCACATTTTAAGAGTTTCTGGTCGTCTTCACAGTCTCATCCTTTGTGGGTAACCCTGTACTTGATCAGACAAAGCTTTTATCATTGGAGGACGGATAACAAAGGTTTCATAAAAATACACCTTTAGTCCCTTTAATAAACAATTTGTTTATGCAGGAGATTTGGATGATGTTATCTGTGTCCGTATGGGGGCAGAATATGATAAACTAAATAAAGACGATATCAACGCGAATAGAAATTGGAGTACTGTACTTGCAATGCAAATATGGAATACAACTATTAACGAGAATTTATAGTTTTATTGTAAAAGTTTACATGATATTTAATAAAAATGTTTGAAAATTGAAATTGGAATGTTGCACAAAGAGACTGTCATTATAATTTGGCATGGGTGTCTGTTTGTCAGTATCCTATTAACGTCAAAACGGCTGAACCGATCGGGCCCAAATCTTAAAAAGAAATTTAAAAAATTTGTGTTTAAAAATTTTTATTTTCGTAAAAAATTTTGAAATATTAAAAATCCGCAAATTTTATTTTATAAAATCCGCGAAATTTTTTTGTTTTGTTTTTCAATGTTACAATGAGAACATGTTCACAATAGAAGAAATAGAAGATGCCTAGTTTATTAAATTATTCGTGATTGATTGGGCTCTTTCTCGAGGATTTTTGAATATTACATTCAACAAAAACAACTTAATAACATTATTTTTATTCCATAGAAGTAATACAAATTATTTATATTAGTTGAAAAACAAGGAACAAATGAGAAATACTTTATATGTAAAGTATTTTTTTGTAAGTTAAGAAATTTTAAGAAAGAAATACAAATAAAGGAGAAAATATTTACAAACCACTAAAATTAGAAGATGTGGGAATATTTCACCCCAATTTAAAAAAAAGGGAAATGGAGGAAAGTTACATATTTTCTGTTATCATTTTGTAAGTAACTAATTTATGGTGGATTGATAGTATTTTTCGACGATGAACTTACAACTTATTGGAATACGAATTTTAGATTTTATATTAAAATTGAAAAATGAAATAGTATCTAAGGTGTGTGAAAAAAAATATGTTTTAGATACAAAATATGTTTACTTTAATGGTAAGTCTGTTTGTATCCAATAAATGTCTAAACGAATGAACCGATCGGGGCCAAATATTTTTAGGGTAGCTCATGACCCCAGGGAAGGTTTATATGGACCGTTAAAGTTGACAATATGTTGAAAATCATAATTTTTTTTAAAATGCGCCAATCTAAATAGAAAAATCCATAAAAATTAAAAAATGATTAAAAAAAGTTAAATTATGTATTCTGCCTTAGATTTAGTTATCTAATGGCTTATTTAATGATTTGGCTGAGAAACAAACAAGTTTATAGTTGCAGGGAATTGCAAATATCACATCATCTAATCCTTTGTGAGTAACCCTTTGAATGGAAGTGTAAATAATGGATGACGACATTAAATTGACTTCGTTTTCTGATAAAGATTCTCTGCGTTAAAATTTATTCCTTGGGTTTAATCAATAAATTGTCTCCAGTGGCGGGAATTGATTTCTGAATGAAAATATATCTTCAGATTTTGTTTAATCAATAGTTACTATATTTGCCTGCAGTGTAGTACACCTAATTTGTAGTTACTAACACGTTTTTCGGAGTTGTTCAACAAACATTTTCTTCGTTAAACTGGGTGTTCCACGAAACATGACAGTAGCAATACGACTTGATATTCGTCTTAGATCTTTAAATTTATTTTGTGACTTTCAGTCAACCTACTTTCACTTATATGTTTATTAAAACAATAACCAGAAAATTTTCCTACTCTTGGCAATTCCAAAATATATCCTGCCTTTCTTTGCTGTAAAAAACTTAATAGAATTTCGTTAGATTTCAGTTTTATTAAATAAAACCAAATTTGTCGAAATCTGAACTAAATTCTTCATATATTCGAAAATATTAAAAGCAAATAGGCAGACCACATTTTGAAATGCCAAGACTAGTGATATTTTGTGATCACTAACTCTAGAATTTAACTTATAAGATTAAGTTAACGACGGCAAATAATTTCAAAGATCAAAGACGACTTTCAATTCGTCTTGCTAAGTTTTCATGTTTCGTGGGTACACCCTGTATAGCAAAAAATGTTATCAAGAACTTTAACTAGGTACTTGAAATTACCTAAATTACAAACGATAGTTTGCTGTTCTGTTTGGTGGCTTAACTTGACAACCAGATGTTCTACCTGTTCTGTTTTGTGGGTTAACTTGACAACAAGATGTTCTATCTGTTCTGTTTGGTGGGTTAACTTGACAACAAGATGTTCTATCTGTTCTGTTTGCTGGGTTAACTTGACAACCAGAAGTTCTAACAGTTCTGTTTGAGTTGGGTTACCTTGACAACCAAATGTTCTATCTGTTCTGTTTGCTGGGTTAACTTGACAACCAGATGTTTCATCTGTTCTGTTTGCTGGGTTAACTTGACAACCAGAAGTTCTATCTGTTCTGTTTGCGTTGGGTTACCTTGACAACCAGATGTTCTATCTGTTCTGTTTGGTGGGTTAACTTGACAACAAGATGTTTCATCTGTTCTGTTTGCTGGGTTAACTCACTTTTAATTATCTTGGTATTAATTGGCTTCTCACTTTTGCCCTTTCAAACCTATTGCAGAATAGTCTACCCTGTTTAAAATGGAGGTCCAAGACGACATATCCGGATATTTTGGCTGGAGATCAAACATTGAACAAAATGAACTTCCAGATTCTTTTTTCAGGTAAAACATTAAAGGGACTGGACGCGTAATTTCAAGTGAACCTTAATACAAAGATGGCAATGACCGATTCACACCTGTACCATTAAAACCTTAATCTGATAAATAGTTTGGAAGATATTGTTGTTTTTCTGACTCAAAAGTGTTAAACTCGGATAATTTCCCCCATGTGTTTCTTACAAGCAAGAAAAGTCACTTTTGCGGAGAAACCGCAAATGAAAAACTAGTTTAAAGAAACAAAAGCATGGATATCTAATTCATACTATGGACAAAATTTCACCTAGCTTCTCCGAGTTACATCGTTCTGCTCCGCTGACAGAAAACAGAAGCTCTAAATCTAAACCTGGATAAAGTTATGGGGGGGGGGTAAGTTTTTCATAGCAAAAATATTGTATAGAAAAAATGGCGGATTCTATCTGGGTATAGCAAAAATTTCTCTCATTTTATTATCTCTTTAAGTCAAAGTAAGCTAAAATAATCCTCAAAATAAAATAAATGCTAATTTGCTTAAAACTTTAAAAAAGAGATTCGAATAAAAGATTTTGATATGAGTGTTGAGTTTCTTAGTGAACAGAACTTATGCAATTTTTTTGTTTGTTTAAATTTCTTATCAAGTTGATAGAGCACAGAATATAGAACTTTTGAAATTACTTAAAAGCTGTTTTTATATTATCTAGGCTGATCGAACTGTGTGCAGTATACTGGTCACGTGATACATACGAGACACGTGACCACTTTACTGCACTACCATTGGTGGGAGTTCTGGTGACGTAATACGGACTTATAAATAATATTATCAATTATATCTATTAAAAATAAAAAAAATTAAAATTATGAAATAATAATTGGAGAAAACCTAAGTTACAATTAGGTTTCTCTGGGATATCTTCGTTTTCAGATTGGTTGCATATTTGCTGAATATGATCTGTTTAAACCTACTATTTCTATATTGACACAGTTTTATATCAATTTCTCGAGAAAGGAACATCAGATATAACTTTCATGGGTTGCGATCAAGAGCTAAAGTTATAAGCTTTCAGACTATACCCTCTTTCATTTTTCCTTTACAGTCCATTTAAGGTTTCAAAAGTACCGTTTTAAATCAGACATTGTCATCTTTACATACATGAGGGCCAATTGAAATTACGCTTATAGTCTCTTTAAAGGGACCGTTCACTTATTTGGGTAATTTCAGGGTCAACTAAAGAGCCTATTCGCTCTTGATTGGTAATAGTCTTACTTTACAAAGACATCTGTGGCCGGAGAAAAAGCCGATTTTTCGTTCAGAATTTGAGCGGAAAAAAACGGTCCCTCTCTACACACACTATTTGATGTTTTTTTTTCAGTAACAACAGCCCAATAAAATTTAAATTTTTCATATTTTAATGTCACATGTGTTCGTTGTTATATACTAAAATTTGAAAACTTTTGACATTTGAGTTAGCAAGAAATTTACGTCTTTGTGTATACAAAGACGACGTCCCTACAACAATCAATTAATCATTACTCGTATTTTGATTCGTAGATTTTGTAGATTTTTTCCCGTATGTTTATAACTTTTCATTTTCATGCCGCGTTCAATTAATCTTTTTAAACAGGCAATACCAAATCTTTAATGCGATAAAATAGTGTTATTTTAGAAATAGAAAGTTAAGAAACAAAAAATTAAAAAAGTTATAACATTTACAATTAACCATTAGATACTACAGTTTAATTTTATATTCGAAATTTATTTTGATTCACAACATACTGAAAAAAAAAACATCAAATAGTGTATATAGAGAGGGACCGTGCCTTTCCGCTCAAATTCTGATCGAAAAATCGGCCTTTTCTCCGGCCACAGTTGTCTTTGAAAAGTAAGATTAATACTAATGAACAGCGAATAGGCCGTTTAGTTTACTCTGAAATTACTCAAACAAGTGAACGGTCCCTTTAAGAGATGTTATTTTAGGCCCCGTAGACAAGTCAGTGCAAAGGACCTTCATCGAAGACTCAGCATTAACAAGTCTCCTAAAAAGTGAGGTTTATTTTCTGTTAACAAATCGAGGTCTCAAAATCGAACCAGTAATTCTGCATTACAAATAAATATATCATTTTCATTTCTAAAAAATGTTGGTTCATCGTCGAATAATATTAACGATCCACCACCAGTTTAAATGAAATATAATTTAAACAATAAATATTTACTTTCCTTATCCTTTCCCTACCTTCTCCTTTGATTTCTATTTTTATATTTTTTAGAATTGGAAGGAAATATTCCCACAACCTCTATTTTGGAGGTTTTCAAATATTTTCTCCTGAACACGTAATTTTGTAGTTTTTTGTTATATTTCATAAATAGATAATTACTAATTACTAATAATTACTAATGTAATTTTTATTGAGATCTGATGCTTATTTTTATATAACAAAACTTTATAAAAAAAATCTCAATGCATTGTTTGGAATTAAATTGATTTGTTTACGATCCGAGCTGAATGTTGCATCTTTCCGAATTTGTATGGACGCTGCGTTCTTCGGTCTGAGTCGTTTTTAAAATTTTCTCCTTATAGACGCAACAGATAGAAGTAAGATTAGTATCGATCAAAAGCACTTTTTTATTACATTAATCCTATACCCCCTTTCTTTTTTCGCGAACACTCCCTTTAATATACGAAAGAATCATATTCAATTACATTAAACTTTTAAGTTAGTATCTAGAAAAGGGGGGGGGGAGTAAAAAGATACTCTTGACCCCCCTTTTCCAAAAGAGGGGTCTTCGACACCTTGACACCCTGTATCTGCGCCTGGTTACTTGAAATTACACTTACAGTCCTTTTACCCTAGAGAAGTGGTGTCCAAGGAGGAGGTCCCAAGGAACAAGATCCCGCAGAACAGGGAGGTCGATCTCATCAATAAATGGAAGGTGATCAACTTCATATATGATCGTTGTTGATCTTTGACAGCCATATATAAGCTAAATCAATTAAAGGTGATCACAAATAATCTACGGATTTGATCGTATTTGATCTTTGATAGCTTTATAAAGTTTAAATCAAAAAGAGATGATAAATGTTAATCTACAGATTAAAGATAGTCGTTGATATTTAATAGCTTTATAAAGTTAAAATCAAATAAAGATGATAAACGTTAATCTACAGATTAAAGATAGTCGTTGATATTTAATAGCTTTATAAAGTTAAATCAAATAAAGATGATAAACGTTAATCTACAGATTAAAGATAGTCGTTGATATTACATAGCTTTATAAAGGTTAAATCAAATAAAGATGACAAACGTTAATCTACAGGTTAAATCTAGCATTGATATTTCATAGCTTTATAAAGGTTAAATCAAATAAAGATGATAAACCTTAATCTACAGATTAAAGATAGTCGTTGATATTTAATAGCTTTATAAAGTTAAATCAAATAAAGATGATAAACCTTAATCTACAGATTAAAGATAGTCGTTGATATTTCATAGCTTTGTAAAGGTTAAATCAAATAATGATGATAAACTACAGATTAAAGATAGTTGTTGATATTTCATAGCTATAAAAACACAAAGCTAATGTAATATTCGTTAGACATTTTCTAGCTATGATTTAGCTGCGACTTCCTAACCTAGCTAGCCTTGGATATCGAAGAATGTGTATAGAATCGGATACCAGAGTCTACAAACACCAAAATAAGAGAATCTCATAAATAAAATAATAACATTTTAAAAAATAAGTGTTTGTCAGTTTGGACGACTGTTATTTTAACTACTGAATACTTATCCTTTGAAATAATGGATATTTGAAAAAATGTCTTTTTTATTAAAGGTATGGTTTTATTTTTGGTATTTCAAATAATGTATCCGTTTGTTTGTTTCCGTTCTTCAATGGAGTTATTTATTAAGTGTTCGTAAATTCTGTTGACCTGCCATGCTACAGTAATTCGATCAATATAGCACATGCCTTTCATATCGAAAATGTCGTCTTCTAAATAAGATTCCTGAATGTGTTTTTAAAACTGGATGACGTGTAATGGTTAAATTGATAAAAGGTTACACCTTTTATGCATTCTTTAGTCGCGGAAACTTTTTAAAAACATTTTATGTTTCATATTTATATTACTATTAAAGTTGCAACCCATTTCTCTGCAATAAAAGATGAAATAAAAAGAAAAAACTAAAATATAAAATGTACAATTCTGGGAGAGAAAGGGGAAGGGGGGGGGGATGATAGTTTTATTTTCAAGTTTTACTAAGAAAACAAAACTCTGTTTGTTTATGTATTTCATTTAGGAATGAAAACAAGATCTTAACAAACTAAGAAAACTTAAAAGTTTAATTTGATTTCTATTTTGCCATCTTTATACGAAGGATCAATTAAAATTTCATTTACAGTTCTTTTAAGGCCAGTATGCCTGTGAACCACAGAAATAAACTGAATTAGTATCTTGAATTAACAGTGATTTAAGATTTAAAAAAAACTTTCTATTTTCCATTTTTTTCATTCTTTGAAAACCTTGCAACCCTTCACATCTGCCATATTTGATTATACCAGGGGATGGATACTGATGTCTATCTATCTATCTATCTATCTATCTATCCATCTATCTTTCTACCAGGAGATGGATACTGATGTCTATCTATCTATCTATCTTTCTACCAGGAGATGGATACTGATGTCTATCTATCTATCTATCTATCTATCTATCTATCTATCTATCTATCTATCTATCTATCTATCTATCTATCTATCTATCTATCTATCTATCTATCTTTCTACCAGGAGATGGATACTGACGTCTATCTATCTATGTATCTATCTATCTATCATATCTTTATACCAGGAGATGGATACTGCAGAAGATGAACTAAAGAGAACAAGAGTTCTCTATCAGAAGAAAATGATGGAATTTCAGGTATTAGGGCTGGACCCGTTCAAACTTTTTTAAGTTCGACAAATTAATGGAAGGGACAGCCTCAACTGGTGAAGGTTGGTTTCTTCGTTTCTAGCGATGAACTGATTTTATGATTTCATTTTTTTCTTAAAGTGAGAACAGTTAAAAATATTATAACTGCAACTGTTACCGTTTAAATAAAGGAACGAATCTTTGCAGAATTTTATATCCCTATAATTTTGGAACCTGATTGTGTTAACCTTTGATATTTCAAACTTAGATTATTTGATCCAACAGTTGAGCAGAATTAACTGTTAGAAATATCTACGGTCTTTAACATTTGGTTGCAATGATATAAGGACAGGAAATCCGTGTTTGAGATGTACGTAGACTCAATTCCTTTACAGAACCTTGCCCAGCCCAGGGATAGTAGAAATATATATTTTCTACACTCAGTCTAAGTTCCATATTCTGAAAGCCATATTTTTAATTCTTGAATTAAATGAAGTTTTAGGAAAACAGACATAAAAAGATCATCCGAGGGAGAATAATTTTGTAGTTCTGGAAAAATGGTCGAGTTCTAGAAAATAGAAAATGTGGAAAATTTTCTATTCTAATGAAATTCTTGCAATTCTGCAGTGACAGGACCCTCAATACTGGGAATTCTAAACTATTTCCCTGTTCTTATATTCTAAACTTAAAACCATAAAAAATTTAGAGGTTCAAAATTGATTGGTTTGCAAGAAAATACATTATAATTGCTGTACCACTAGGCTGGTATATTCTTAGACTACTGAACAGTTCACAGATGTGCATTCCGTTGTGTCGTTTCTTTGGATAGTTATTAGTCAATACTTTCTGTTTGAGTCTAAAGTGTTTTTAAAATTGTGTAAAAAAGTTTTTGTTTTTAAAATTGTGTTTTCTAAATATTTGTTTTTAAAATTGTGTTTTCTAAATATTTGTTCTTAAAATTGTGTTTTCTAAATATTTGTTTTTAAAATTGTGTTTTCTAAATATTTGTTTTTAAAATTGTGTTTTCTAAATATTTGTTCTTAAAATTGTGTTTTCTAAATATTTGCTTTTCTTACATTATGCCAAACTTCAAGTTTAACCCTGACAGAAAATGTAGACAAAAAACGTACAAAAAACGATTCCCCCAAAAATTCGAAGTTAAAAAAATAGTGATCGTTTTTGTGTCATTTTATATCTCTGTTTCGGATAAAAATATTGCAAAGTTTAATAAAAGATGTTCTTAGGCTCGTTGGAGGAAAATTGAGGCAGGTCAACTTGAAGTAAAACAGAACCTTGTTAAATTCAACAACTTTGTGAGAGAGAAGCAAGGGAAGGTGGAGGGAGGATTAGAAAAGGCTCACCAGGAGATCCTCCAGCAGGTATATTGACTCTAATTGGTCACTACAGGGTGTTTCTATTGACATTTGAATTAAAGGACCATCTTCAATATTGTTTTTGTTTTGATGACAATTTTCATGAATCTGCATGTTTATTGGTTTTTAAGATGAATTCATTTAAGAATTTAAAAAAAACTCTAACCTTTAGGTAAATTATAAAACATCTCTAAACTTTAAGGTAAATATTAAAAAAAAAACTCTGCCCTATCAGGGTTTAGCCAGGTACTGAAGAAAACAAATTATTTGGTGTACACTGTACATCTTTAAGAAATGTTTGAGAATCTTGGTTTTGTCTATGAATTAGACAACTTTTCTTTAAAAAGTCTAATGATTTTGTTTTAATCTGAGGTAATATTTCTTCAAAATATAAAATTATGTTTGTAGGAGATGAAAACTCTTGAGCTTGCTGAATTAGAGAAAGAAAAAGTTCTCTACGAAGAAGCAAAGTAAGTTAACTTTAAACAAATTCTTGTCCTATTCAGCACCTTTCAAGAGAATTCATTCAATAAAATGGAGAATGTGTTTAAATCATTTAAACACAACTTTAAACAAAAGAACCAATTTTACACACATTTAAAATTATTATTTTACAAAGATAAATGCGCATATTTAGTTCAATAATGTATAATTGAAGGGAAGACGCAAAAAAAAAATCCACGCAAATGTCGTCTTCCTTTCAAATTATCAAACAATCATTATATTTCTTCGAGACGTAGATAATAACAACCATATAGACAATGGACAATAAGAATAATTAAAGTGATATCGGCAAGTGTTATACGTTAGTTTTAATGTCTAAACTTGTGTAAAAATGGTGCACTAGGGGGTGTGTTCTCCGCGTAGGGTTGGCTCTCCAAGGAAGACACAGGACCTTTAAATCAAATTTCACAAATTTACTTGTTGATATTTTAAATACTAGGATTTAAGGGCGCTCCACGCCCCCTTTTTTATAAAAAATTGTAGCTTTTAGCTGTTACTCTTAAAGCAAACATTTATAATCATTCTAAAATTTTTGCGGATATTTTGTTTAAATTTGCACATTTAAGAAAATAACAACTCTCGACATTTTGACGTTTAAAGGAAACAAACAAAAAGACAAAAAAGCAAAGTATATTAGTAAATACTTTATAGGTTAAACTAAAATTAGCTTCGTTTTCCAGAAATACATTAGAAACAGCGGTGGAGGATAAAAAAGTATTTTTAAACTATCTTCAGGTAATAATTAATGCTGTTTACATCAAAAAGCTCGGCGTTTCCTTAATGATATTTTGATTTTATGCATGATGATCGTTTTTTTTCAAATAGTTAACATCTACTTAATTTGTAGAAAACAATAAAATATTCATAAACTGATTTTACGAATTACAAAATTTATTAGCAATCAATTAATACAGTTGAAAGCGGGAAAGTCATACAGAATACAAGCTATAAGGCCTTGCTTAAATCTTGATTTAGTAAAGTCATATTAAGATTGAATCGTGGATAGTAGGACCTTCCTAAAAGCATTATTTGATTTGATAATAAAGCTTTTTGCACATATATCTATATAATAAAACAAGACATTAATTTTACCTTGAGTATCCCAGGGGTAACATAAAGGCTAAAAGAAATTCATTTTTTTTTCAAAAATCTCTTTTTTTAAAAATCCGATTTAAAATTCCACGGGCAACATCGGGCACTTCAGCTAGTTAGGGTATTTAGTAGGCAAACAATTTTTGTTTTAATATTGAGTATGAAAGACAGGAATAAAACTTTAACATATGAAAAAGTCTTCAATTTTTAGTCTGTGGTGGACATTGTTCCCGAGACATTTCCAGACATTCGTCGTCTCATGGAGAGATGTCAAGTAAGCATGTTAATTTAAGTGTCATTAATGATAAATATTTAAAATATATGCTAATCAGGGGTCATGCTTAACTTCTGTGTACTGTAAATAGACTAAATTTTGAACCACTTCTCTTGGTTAACCTAAAGTGATTTATGGCTCAACTATGACTCCCGTTTCATTAAATATGGTCCCAGAGGCTGAATTTTAAAAAATTGAGCCTAAGCACGGCTCAAATATGGGTGGTTACACTTAAAATCGTATTTATTGCTTCAAGATTTAAGCCGGCGCATAATTGAAACCGGTTGTTGGTGGATTTAAGATGCGGCTCAAATTTATTAAATTCGGAAATATACAAAGAAAAAGATTTAAGCTATATCAGGGACCTAATGCAGTTCAAATCGTTCAAGACTCTAACAAGCATATTTCGCTTTAAAAAAGAAAAGTACATAAAATAAAAGATCAAATAAAAGGCCTTCTTAGTATTGTTTTACATTATACCCTAGACTAAAGTAGGACTGACAGGAACAAGCGAAATGGAACTAAAGTAGGACTGACAGGAACAAGTGAAATGGAACTAAAGTAGGACTGACAGGAACAAGTGAAATGGAACTAGAGTAGGACTGACAGGAACAAGCGAAATGGAACTAAAGGAACAGATTTTTCAAAAAAGTAGGAGCACACCTTGCTCTTGACTAGAGGTGATGAAATGGGACTGTACACCCTTTAAGGGAATTTAATGTGCTGCAGCCCCAAAAGGGAGGAACAAATAAGTCATATTTTCGGCTTTGATAGGCTCTAGTTGCCACAAGGGATAAACTCCGAGCCCGGCTCTCTCAGATAGAAAAGACAAGAGAAGAAGAGGCACGTTCTCTAGAGAAGTTCAGTGAACTTAGAATGGAGGGAACACTGGACTATAACGTGCGCTTGGCAGAACTACAACAGAACGCGGCTAAGCTTGCAGCAAGAACATTAGGTAAGAAGGAAAAAATTTGCGCGTTCATAATCTTTCATTATAATTCTGTTAAAGGGCCACTGGATGTACACTTCCATGTGTTGATCACGATGTCTGATTTACAATGGTACCCAGGATACCTTTATTTGTTTAACAATGTAGAAGATATGATAGTTTTTAGATTTAAAAGTGTTCCATGTTTAACTATGGCTGTATTCTGAAGCACTGTATCCGAGATGAACTTACAAGAACCAAAATTCTTTTGTCAAAAATATTCACTTCTTTCCTGACCTTTCTTATCTCATTTGGTTTTGTCATTATTTAGGCGGAATTCTGTCAAAGAATATCCTCAGAATCTTCAAACCCTGCTTAGTGCAGTGAATTTTTTCTCCAAAGAATATTGAACGATGAATTTATGTTTGAACCTGAACCTTCAATGAATTGAGTCAGACATTAGATCAGCCAAAAAGAAGATATAAGTCACAGGAAAAAATTTACTGCTCTTTTTAAAATTTTGTTAAACATTTTTGATCTAAAAATAAATTGTAAACAAGTGTTTAATTCGGTAAATTTATTTATGTTTTTTTTGCAGTAGAAATGGACAAGTCTCTTTTGTACAGAAACCATAATTGAAAATAATTAATTCTCAAAATTGCAAACATTGATATCTAATTCATATCCGGCATTGCCATCTTTATATGAAATTACGTTCATAGTCCCTTAAAGCACTTCAAATATGTATTTATTTGTTTTATACATTTTTTTTAGAAAGAAGAACAATACTGGAGAATATAATAGAACTTAGCAAAGAAAAAAAATTGTTAATTTCTAACATCAAACTGGCGATTTCAAATATGCACAGGTTAGATTTGGCATTTACTATTTAACTAGCACTTTATTAAATATGAGCTGGGAACTTTAGAATGGTGGATATCGAGATCAATGCTTGATCTCCTTTTCTTCTAAATCTCTTGATTAAATATTGCTTGTCCTCTTGTTATTAATCTCCAGATTAATTAAGCGATCGGGTTTAGGGATATTTCATTCTAAAGTGTTCAGCTCTGGTTCTTTTAATCCAAAACAAAAATTTTATAACATGTCACATAAATTCTTAGCTTTTAACGCCAACACAGAGTTAGCCTAGAATATGACAATCTTGCAAAAAAACAATTTATATAGCAACAAATTCTCTTTTTTTAAATCTCTATATCTTTAAAATTGAAACCTATTGCTGTAGACCTTTGACATATTAAACTCTTAATTCTATTTGATTGACTATTTGAAATATGGAAGGTATGGTGAAGCTTGCAATGAAATATAGATTATAAAACTAGAGTTTGTGTCAAGTATTCAGTTTCATTGTTTTCCATAGATATGTTTTAAAAAGAGCAGTTGTTGTTCCTGGTGCACCTAAGGTAATAACTTCAGATAATTTATCAGAGCTGGGAACTTTTGTATTGTGGATATCCAGATCATCCACAGATTAATTTAATCTTTATTCGATATCCCACAATCGAACCCAGTTGAAGTTGTAGTGAGAGTTAATCCGGGTAGGCCTAACTAATATGAAGATTTGGAAGGGTATAGTTTTTATAGATCCTCAAATCAAAAGTGCCATCAGTGGATATTGAGATCTAACAATAGGGATTATGAGTATCTAAAAAAAATGTTCCCAGCTCATTTTTTTTCTCAAGCCACCATTAGTTTTTTAAAGCATTTTTTCTCTCTAGATTTGCATTCTCCATTCATGTTATGTCCAGAATTCATGTTATGTCCAGAATTCATGTTATTTCCAGAATTCTTCATGTTTTGTCCAGAATTTTTTTTAAGTTTGACTTTTTGAAATTAACTGTCAGAATTCTGGGAACTATAAATGTCATTTGTCCTACAATCAATTTTCCTACAATCAATTGTCCTACAATGAAATTGTCCCACAATCAATTGTCCTACAATCAATTGTCCTACAATCAATTGTCCTACAATCAATTGTCCTACAATCAATTGTCCTACAATCAATTGTCCAACAATCAATTGTCCTACAATCAATTGTCCAACAATCAATTGTCCTACAATCATTTGTGCTACAATCAATTGTCCTACACTCAATTGTCCTACAATCAATCGTCCTACACTCAATTGTCCTACAATCAATCGTCCTACAATCAATTGTCCTACAATCAATTTTTTCTACAATCAATATTCCTACAATCGATTGTCCTACAATCAATTGTCCTACAATCAATTTTCCTACAACCAATTGACCTACAATCAATTGTCCTACAATCAATTGTCCTAGAATCAATTGTCCTGCAATCAATTGCCCTACAATCAATTGTCCTACAATCATTTGTTCTAGAATCAATTGTCCTATAAACATTTGTCCTACAATCAATTTCCACACAAATAATTAACCCTAAACAGGCGTTTGACGCCCCCTCTCATATATGGTAGGGTATAATGAGACTGTAAAAAGGCCGTTCGGTGTTTAAAAAATCTTAAATAGCCCTTAATTATTTTGTTATTTAATTAAGCTACAGATCAAAAATCTACATTTTTGAAGAGGTCTTAAAAAACTAATTTAATAACGATGAATATTTGTCAAAAACAAAATACAAATAAAACTTCCCTATCACCTGAACTATTAAAATCAGCGGTCTAATTTTTTTAATAAGCTGGCCTATGGACTATGATAATNGCCACCGCCATACTATATATATTTAGACTATCCAGACTTGAAAGTGTTGTATATAAACAAATTTCCTACGATTTCTTTGCCCTTCACAAAATTTGTTATAGAGTAAAAAACATGATTTGTCCCACATCACATTAGTCTTATTGTGACTTAAAACTTAAACATATCAATTGACGTAGAAGAAATAAAAATATAAATGATGTTTATATTTTTGGTTTAAAAACACAAGTTTTCCCTTCCTCTTTTTCCGTACATGACTGATGGTACATAAGTTAACTGATGGTACATAAATTGACTGATGGTACATAACTTGACTGATGGTACATAACTTGACTGATGGTACATAACATGACTGATGGTACATAACTTAACTTATGGTACAAAACTTGACTGATGGTACATATCTTGACTGATGGTACATAACTTGACTGATGGTACATAACATGACTGATGGTACATGACATGACTGATGGTACATAACTTGACTGATGTTACATAACTGTCTTTTTTGTGAAGGAAACGAAGACAGAAGAGCTAGGCGTGCCTGAACAATTAAACACCATCATAGCACATATTGAAGATTTGACGGTATTTACATTTTTAAACTAATTTTATCTCTCTAGAAATATTATCATTGGTCCAAATACAAACTGAAAAACTCAAAGTCATACTATTTTCTAAGCGCATTTCTACTACAGGAAAACATAAAGAAACTATCAGTAATAAACACTTTTTGTTTCTATTTTTGTTGTTGTTTTAGAAACGATATATCATCAATTGTGAAGAAAAAATATTTCTATTTTTATTAACTAACTAACTAACTAAAATTTGTGGAACATGAATCCGTTTATCTATTATCACCCTTGAAAAGTGTTAAAATCTAACAAAATCCTTCAAAAGCTCTGTAAGAAAATTTTCCTTTATTAAAGGGAGTGTTCGCGAAAATTGAAAGGGGTATAGGCTTACGGCGAAAAATGATCGATAGTGATCGCTTCTAATTTCTTACCTCTATCTGTCACGTCTTTAAGGAGAACATTGTTAAAAACGACTCAATCAAAAACAAATCAATTCTTAAAGAAAAGACGATTGTCACTAGCATATTTGATCATGAAAATTTTATTATTAATGTTGTGAATCGTACATTTTATTTAATTAATGGAGAGTCACTTAAAATTACGTTTACAGTCCCTTTAACTTTTCAATTTTCTTCTAGGTAGTGAATGAACGTGTTAAAAAATCCGACCTTGGTATTGGTTACCTTGACCCGCTGGCTAGTGAAGCAAGCGAGCTTAGAATAGATTACTGAACACTCAACACTCAACAGTTTATAGTTACCAGGGAGTAAGGAATAGAAATGAGATATAACTGACGCGGTTCACCCTACCATATGATTATGCGTTCTTTGCAGACGGGTACTCCATTTGTATAAGAAATATTTAGAATAGGTTATTGTATACGCGGTAATTGTACACCAGACAAATATTTCTTATTCAAATGGAGTACCGTCTGCAAAGCATGTATTATCATATGGAAGGCGAACCACGTCAGTTATATCTCCCTTCTATTCCTTACTCTCTGATAGTTTCCCACAAAGGATGAGACTTGAGACTTCAGAGAAGATTATACGTAATTTATCTTCGAAATAATAAAGCTCTCCGCTCATATATATGTTTTTATTTGTATTTAAGTTTATATATATATATATATATATATATATATATATATTTATGTTAGTTTAAAGCTGACCAATTTTTTTCTTCAAATTTCGTTTAAAAAATATTCCACGGGCAACGCCGGGTACTTCAGCTAATAGAGTCTATTTCCTTACATTTAAGATTCTGTGCGACTTATCAAATCATTAATCTATATATTGCCTTTAATAGTTTTAACTCTTAAACTAACCTTTTCCTTTAAGAAGCCTTGGACATGTACACTTGAAAACTGTAACATGCTTATTTCTAGCTTAAAGGGACTGTTAATGAAAAATAAAAAGGGGTGTAGGATGAAACCAAAGCACTTCAGGAGATCGCGAATTATATGAATTCTATCTGATGTCCCTATCTCGAGAAATTGATATAAAACTGTGTCAACGTGTCTCCATCTGTATCAATTTTCTTATCAATTATATTCATTAAAAATAAATAAAATTTAAATTTAAATCATACGAGCGTACCTAAGCTGTTTAGGCTTCTCCGGGTTATCGTAATGTTTAAATTCATTCGGTATTTGCTGAACATGATCTGCATAAAACTTTGATTTCTATAGTTTTGGTATAACGTTGACATAGTTTTTTATTAATTTCTCGAGACTGGAACATCAGATAGATCAACTTCTGAAGTATTCAGCCTTTACCCTCTTTCATTTTCCCTTAACAGTCCCTTTAAGTTTAAAAGGAGTAATTGACCATCCCAAACCGAACTTTGCGTGAGATGAGGCATACCTCAGACTTCAGTTTATAGTGCCATATTCCTTCACTCATCTCGACTCTTCACCCTCCTGGATACCCCCTCCCCCCCCCAACAGCCCAAAAAAATGCATTGCATGTATTTGGTATAGTAAATTAAAATGTAAATAAAGGCAGGCGGGGGGTCCAGAATCCAGATACAGCTTTGGCGCTGCTAACTTGTTTGGAGAACAAATTGGCAGAATACGTCACTAGGATTCTTGTAATTGAAAAGGTATAGTATGGGAAGGAATAGAATGAGAAGGGATAGGATGGGCTGGAAGAGAAAAGGGATAGGGGAGAATGGAAAGGTAGAGGACGGAAAGGAATAGAATGGGAAGGGATAGGATGGGAAGGAATAGAATGAGAAGGGATGTACATGACTGATGGTACANTACGTCACTAGGATTCTTGTAATTGAAAAGGTATAGTATGGGAAGGAATAGAATGAGAAGGGATAGGATGGGCTGGAAGAAAAAAGGGATGGGGGAGAATGGAAAGGTATAGGACGGAAAGGAATAGAATGAGAGGGTATAAGATGGAAAGGAATAGAATGGGAAGGGATAGGATGAGAAGGAGTAGAATGTGAAGGAATAGAATGAGAAGGGATAGGATGGGCTGGGAGAGAAAGAGATGGGGGAGAATGGGAAGGTATATAATGGGAAGATATAGGATTGGAAGGAATAGAATGGGAAGGGATAGGATGGGAAGGAATAGAATGAGAAGGGATGGGATGGGAAGGAATAGAATGGGAAGTGAAAGGATGGAAGGAATAGAATGAGAAAGGATAGGATGGGAATAAATGGGACGGAAAGGCACAAGGGAGTTGAATGGGAAAATATTTGATGGACGGGAGTTGATATAGAAATCATATCGTATGCTCTGAATAGGTTGTATAAATCGATATATATGCATCACCTATGATCGATGCATGCAAAAAAATGTCAAGCCAGAATACATAGTATGATGTATCTATTAAAGATTTCAAGATGCAAAACTATTAACAGTTTAAAATTGAAATGTCAAAAAGCTAAATTGGAATATTTTTCATTCTAAGCAATTCTTTTTTTTCAAGACTTTTACTATGATTTAATTTTTTTCTTTTATGTGTAGAACTCATTTATCGCATAAAAAGAATAAACGTTTTTTAGAATTTCTGAATGAAAAATGCATAAAACAAAAAGAAAAAATACAGTGGAACCCACTTAACTACAAAACAAGAAGAAGACACTGATGAAGTAATCTTATTTGATGTTGTTATATACCAAATAGTTGTACTAGTTGCTTGTTAAGTGAAATGGTGCTGTGTACACTGCACAATTTTGTTTTATGGGCCACACTGTATGGAGAATACACTATGGTCGAATTAACAATTAGGAAGTAAAGATTTTAAGCAGAAAGTTTAATCTTTAAAAATATATTTACAAAATTTCCGATCTTTACCTCATATTTTTCTTTAAAAGTAGCTTTTAGATCAAAAACCATATACCAACTTTAAAAAAGATAATCTTTCATTATTATCTTTTTTATTGATCCGTTGCGTGCCTAAAAATACTATGTTATCATTATATTATAATTAAATGCAATGAAATCAAATCATACTGCAAAGTTTAAATTGCATCTTCACAGAATATAAATTCTTACATTCAAACATCAGCAAAATTTTTTTTCAAAACAGAAATAAAATGTATATTTAAAATCAAGCTTTGATGGTCACTCTTTTTTACAAACTTAAAGGGAGTGTTCGCGAAAAATTAAAACGGACATAGGCTCACGGCGAAAAATGATCGATGGGGATCGCTAATTATCTTACTTCTATCTGTTGCGTCTAGTATAAGAAGAAAATTGTTAAAAACGACTCGTAAAGAAGAACGTAGCGTCCACACAAATTCACAAAGTTGCAACATACAAGTTGATAATGTCGGATCGTAAAACAAAATCAATTTCATTCCAAACCAATCATTCAGATACAATCTATAAAATCATCGATGATTTTTCGACGCATTCCTATAAAGTTGATATTTCATAATATGTTTTATTTTTTTTATATACGATGTAGTGTACTTTAAATGACGATTTTTTTGTCGCTTGGTTTCGTTGTAGTCTATTTCACGAGAAACTCCAGAGCATCGAGAGCAGAGACACCTAGCGATCAAATAAACGTTCTTCAAAGTATTGTATGTGAAACAATTAATACATATTATAAAATATTAACTTTATACGAATTTATAATTTTTTTACATTTTTGTCGTCGCTATTTAATTAAAAAAAACGATTCTCAAAACGTAACCATCCAAATGGATGATTGTGAACATCGACTTTGCGCTCAAACTCATACATTGCCGGTCACTCCCTTTAACTGTCTAGTTCACTGTGATATACAATATATAAAGTTTCTAATTCAGTGGAAAGATCTATCTAATAACATAGTAAAAATTAAACTGTGAATCGTTAAAAAAACTGATTTGCTTTGTTCTCAAAATTCCCCTCATTTTTGCACAGACGCCTTTGAAGGGAATTAGCATATTTTCATTTTTTCTTGATTTTTAGGTTTTAAAAATTTTGCAAATGTTTTTGCACATTTCAATTCGCTGGGTCAAGGGCTTTTCAAAAATGTTTAATTTGTTGCAATTTGCGCAATTTTTTTGCACATTTTTTGCTTAATAAATAGATTTCCCAATTAATATTTGGATCTTTGTCAATTTGCCATTTTATTTGCAGATTATTGAGGTAAAGCCTAAGGGCTTTCCAGAAACGTATCAAATATTATAGATTTGTACCACAATAAAAAATAGAGGGGGGGGGGGGTTATTATTTGACCCATCCCCACCCCCCAGGCAACCAGTCAGTAAACCAGACGTCAGGCCATTGAGATGTAGCCAAAAAAACGCTTCAGCTATTTTAAAGGGATTATAGAGATAATCGCTTCAAATCAAAAGTGTCTGTTTATATCCCACAGGGTGTCTGCATGTTATTGCAGACACCCTGTGGGATACAAAAATATAGAATCCATCATTGTACCCCGGCCCTGGGGTTGGCAGCTTTACATACTATTCTTCCAAGAATAACTTCATAAATCAAAACTATGCTTTGAGAGGTTGTAACTTCTGAACAAGACACAACTCAATAATTTGAAAATAATAAAAGTAAAACAAGGATAAAATGAATGTTGGCGCTGAAATTTTAATCCAATACAAAACATTTTGGAATATGGAATAATAACAGAATATAACACTTTTTAGTCTAAAACAAACTCTTCTTCTTGTTACTCGGATAGGGATCTAAACGGTGTGAATCGAACATGTGAGTCTATAAGTGGGGAATGTAACATCAAGTTACGTCTATAACGGTCCCTTTAATCGAAATAAACCCTGTTTTGGTATTTTTTGTAAGGTATTAAATCATTAACTATATATTACATATTATTTAATAAAAACTTGTTTCGAAAAGTCATTGAGGAATAAAATGATTCTATTTTTCTCTAAATAAAAAAAATATGGAACATCAAATTTTAAACATCTCAAAGGGATAAAATATTAAATACTAACGCTTTCTTCTAAAAAATATACAGGGTGTTCAGAAGATAACTTCATATAATTTAAGAAATCTTAAACATGAATTCTTAAATACTATGGAGAAGAAGAAGAATTTAAATGGGGGCGTGGGAGTGACTTTTCACCCCCTTCAGCACCTCCCCTTCCCCACCACCACCACCAACACCACGTAAAAACCATTTATCAGAAGACCCCAAGTTTTGGCGCAATGGGAATAGTTTAACCAAATAAACTGAAAATAAATATACAATATCTAAATATTTTATCAAGCACTCTCTGAACATTCTTGTTGACCTTTAAAAAGGTCAGAAAATATACAAATAAAGAAATCAGGAAAAACACAAATATTCTATAACATTTATTTAAGAAAAATAAAATTGTTTTGAAATATTTGCACAAAT